AGGGTGAGTTTGGCTCTGGAAAAGCAGTCGAGCCAGTCCGCGATGGCGTCTAGGGCTTCCGCGGCTGTCTCCGCTCGTGTGTGGATATCGTCGACGAAGTTGTTGATATTTCGCCATTTGGAGGGACCCAAGGTGTCGTCCATCACCCGACAGAAGTGCGAGGGGGCAGTCTTGGGTCCGAAGGGCATAAAGAGTGGTTCATAGATGCCGTCATGGAGTCTGAGCGCGAGCCATTTGCGTACCGACGCATCGGTGATGGCGATTTGGTAGAATCCTTTGTTTGCGTCACCTCCCGATATGTATCGGAATGGGACTGCGATGATCCAGTTCAGGATGTCGAGCATGATGGGAAAGGGATATGGATCCCAGGCCATGCAGTCGTTGGCTCGGCGATAGTCGAAGGCTACGCGCGGGGGTTTGTCTGCATAGCGAATGATAACAGGATCGCTGGCGAAGGTTACTTCGGTGGTTCGTTTCCACCTCTGAAGCCCCATCATGGTGTCTCGCTCCGTCTCGAGGGCTGTGCGCTCCAACGGAGAGTACGACCGTGGCCTCGAAAGGGGTGGCGGAGCCGAGATAAATCGAGGCGCATAAGGAATCTTGGTGTAGTTCCCTATGAGATGACCCTCATAGCTGAAGGCTTGATGGAAGTGTCGTAGAATGTTGATTAGGGCCCAGACCACAGGTTTGGGTCGCTTGAGATCGACGTGGAAATGTTCCGCGTCTTTTAATTGGGCTTCGAAGGCCCCTGGAGCCCTCTCCGTAGAGTCGAGGTTCCATTTGTTCCAAAGTGTCTGCCATTCTTCTTTGGAAATGTTCTCTTCGGGGTCCGCAACCGAATTATGGGTCGCGGTGGACAGTTTGAGGCCTAACGGGACTGTTGAGCTAGCAGCGGTGGCCTCAAGAGGGTTTTCGATGAGAAAAGTTTGGGCTGCCACGCACGTCTGTCCCGTGATTAACATGGTTAATCTAGACTTCTGAGCTTTGGCTTTGGTCAGCCGTGGCATTGACACATCCTTCATGAATTCACCCTGCTTGGTTTTGTATGGCGTGCCGCGCATGTGATCGGTGTCCAGCTCATCCGTTATGGAGCAAGGGATAAGGATGTCCGGATTCTTGAGCGTCACCGCGAAACTGGGTAACGGGGGTTCCTGAACCAAGGTTTGGAGTTTCAAATGTCCCAGAACATCGTTGGCTAGGATGATGAGAGGTTTCCCATATGCAATGACTCGGAAATAGGCGCGGAAAGTCAGGTATTCTCCTCCGCGGCCTCTGAGGGAAGTTTCGAGGCATACTGTCTTGGTAGATGAGATACGTCCACCAATGCCTTTGAAAGCCATCGTTTCCGCATCCTGCAAATCGGTTTCGGAGAACAGAAGGCCCTGGTACGTGTCGGAAACCAGAGACTCGCAGGCTCCTGTGTCTAGTACCACAGGTGCCCAGAGCTGAGCGATGACGGCTAGCGTCCAGCAAGGCTGCGTTTGGGTCTTGGTCTGGCTTTTGAGTACATCGCCTAAATCTACCGAGTAGAAGGCGTTGATGGAAGGCACCACGACCTCGAAATGGGGCACGATGTCATTAATTGTTGCTTCCGTAGCCTTGATCGCACTCTCAAAGTGCTCTCTAGATTTGTCGTTTTGTGGTTTTGTTGTTTTATTCTGGCGAGCAACTTGTTCGATAGCCAGCATGACTATATGCGTCCGTTCGCTCTCTTCGTGTCTTTGGAGATGTGGATGGTCTTTAACGTGCAGAAATTTGGGGTTTCCGCGACGATAATAATAGTCTGAGCGAACGATATTGCCTGTCAGGAGAAATGCCACCAGTTGCAGGTTGGCGTAAGAATCAAAGATAACAGGATCTTCGGAGCTCCACATCAAGAATTTCTCACGCTCGTCGAGCCTTATCCAGGCAAGGAGGATCAAACGAGGGGTACCATCTTCTCGGACTTTTCGCAGGATTCGATCCTTGTCAGCTTTGGCTGCGGCAGCGATGTAGAGGTGGTGGGAACTCCACGCAACTGCGTAGGGGTCGTTCCCGAGGTGCCCGGCGCCTCGCTTCGGTTCTTTGGCGAAGAAGCTGAGCGCGCGGGGGTTGTTGCCCATCATCAGAGCCACTTGCGGGGTGCCCCAGATGATGGCTATGTTGTCCCAGACTTGGTCCCAGCCCTGCGTGGGCGTGCGGGGGTCCTCTTCCTTGGTCACCGTGACCTTGGAAAGAGGTGCGGTCATCAAAATTGTTGATTCCGAGTGCTCGGGTGAATGAAAGAATCCGATGGTGTGGAATCCTTGATTAGCGGTGGCTGTCCTTTCCAGTTCCGAAGCCGAAAAAAGAGTCTCGGTGGTAGCGGACGTCGAGTCCAGCTCCACTATGTACGACTTCTTGGACTCCTGTTTGGGTTTCCAACCTGCGGGCATGGGTGCTCCGTATGGTCCCTTCTTTCCATCTTCAGGATCTTTTCGGTTCAGGTTCTGCCAGCAGAAAACATTCCAATGCTTTTTCTGACAGAATTTGCAGGGTGCCGGTGGTTCCGTGTTGGGGTCCGGAACCATCTTCTGAGGGCCGTCGTGACCCTTTTCGGGGTTTCCGGTTTTATGTTGAGCCGTCTGCTTAGGGCCTTTGTCGATTCCGGTCTTTTGTGACTTCTTCTGAGCTTCAGCAGCACCGCTGTAGCAAGGGTCTCGTTTTCTGGTGTCATCAGAGCCGAAATAAAGGCGCAGGAAGTCTTTTAATTTGGTCAGGTTCATGACGTTACAGGATTTGACCATGATTTGGATGTCGCTGGGCAATTGTTCGACTATTAGGTCGAAATGCTGGTCAGCGGGACATTCTATGTTTGCCCGGTCGCCGTATGCGAGGCGCCGGAGATGAGTTTTGTGGTCAATGAATGCGAGAAAGCTGCGAAATTCTTTGGGGTTCGCGTGGCAGCGCACATATTCGGTTTTGCGCTTGGACTCGGTTAGGGGATCTCGGAACTCTCGAAGCAGTTCTTCTTTCCACCTTTTCCAGGTCCACGAGCGAGTTTCCTGGGCTTCCAGAGTGTAAAACCAAGCGTCGGCAGGGGTTTTCTCGGCTATCATGGCTGGTAGGAGCTGTACCATCCTGGCATCCAATGTTGCGCTAACGTTTTGAAGAAGTTGGACTTTGTTGAGCCATTCTTCAACGTCTTGGTTTCTTTTGCCCGTAAACTCGGGTACGTCCTTTGCTTTCAAGGAATCGACCTTGGTGTCGCTGGCCCACGGGGCTGCTGGCACTTGGATTGGAGGCACCGGACCTGAAAAACTTGGTTCGGTACGCTCCCTTGGTGTGTCCGACGTTTCCCACGGGGTTGCGGACCGTTCTCTTGTAGCTCGTGCTATGAGAGGTTGTTCAGGCAGCGGGCGATGCACTAGGGCTTCTAAGGCTCGTGCGAGGCGCTCATCCACCGCTGTCTGACGTTCGGAAAGCCTATGAAGCTGTTCCGTAAGGTTTTGAGTTGCCAACTGCGTTGCAGCAGTCGAGCGGGCAATGTCTTCTTTTAACGCTGCCACTTCAGAGGCCATCGTGGCCAAGTTAGGGGCTTCCGGTTCGACGGAAGTGGTCCCTGAACGCCTTGGGCGTGTTGCGGGAGGGACTTCGACGTCCTCCGCAGGACCCTGACTACGAGTCTGGATCACAGGTGAGCGGCCTCGCGTTGGAGAGCGTTCGACCGGCATCATTCTCGGTTTCGTGAAGTCTGTTTCCGAAACGAGAGAAAAGGTTTCCGAGTAGCTACCTGAGCGGATCTCGGTTTGCACAAGAGTTTCGGTACAACTGAATAAGGTTTTCAGCTGAATTTGAGAGGGGAAGGCAGTTCGTCGCGCTTCTCCACCATGTAACGGATTTTTTGTTGGTAGACTACGGTAAAGACAACTTGGGTCTCCTAGCAGGTTGTGTGGGTGTCCGTACTAGGAATCGTAGTCTCCAAATCCTTTCTTTGGGCGTCGGTAGCGACTTGAGGGCGAGAGGCAAGGAGAGTCGGTTAGTTGTGAACCGAGCAGGATTTAGAGGCTTCAGTGCGGGTGATCAGGCCATTGAAGTGCTCTGTTAGGTTCCTGTTAACCTAGGATTGGGGTTGAGAAGCTAGTTGTGGGGATTTTTTGTCGCTACGGCTTCTGGCCGCTGACTTATTTTATTGAATTCCTCTTTTTATACAAGAATATGCTACGGTAACGTCTACACTAGTTTCCGTAGCCTTCATTAGGGTGGCGGCGTCTGATCTTCCCATCTCGGACCATCGCCATGATCGATCATGGCTGCGTAACGTATCCTTCATGCTGCGCTGGTGTAGCCCAGAACCGAGCTTGATCTTAGGGGTTTCGAAGCTTAGGTTACAATTGTGGAAACCTCAATCGTGGTCACCTGATGCCTTTGAGCGAACCGGTTTATCAGAGTCGTTCGCTACAATTCACCTTTGTTGAGAAGATAGAGGATGGCTTCAATTGTCTCTTGATTTACTGTGGGAAAAACTGGCACTGATGATGAAAGGAGATAGAATTTCAGCGCGTGGGAAGCGTGGTCGGCGAGTTGATGGATGATGGCGATGTAATCTAGAAGCCGTTGGCGATAGTTTGGCAGGAAAGCTTTTGCAAAGGAAGTCTTGTTGCAGGTATGTAAGGTGGGTTTGTCGAGTTTTTCAAGCTTTTGCTTCTTTTTTGGTGGCATTGATGATATCTGTGGGAAAAGATGAAAGCCTGGGAAAATGGGCGACGACAACTTATATAGGATTTTTTGGATCAAACCATAGTTCATGAGTCTAAATCGAGTAAAATTATGATTAAATTGGTTGGAATCTATGTACTAGTGCCAATACCAATCGGCTCCGCACTATGTAATTGCTTTCAACATTCTAAACAAAATTTGCAACCATCTCTTGATATTCAACTGTAGTGGTAAAAGACAACAACACATGGCGGAAGGGTTCAGAGGACCCAAAAGCAATCCATACTTTTGGTACAGATTAAACATGGAACGCTGATAACAAAGGACAAGCAATTCTCCTTAGGCTTTTACTCAACCCAACGGGATGGTGAAAGAACAGGATGCATGGCTTATATTCGAGCTGGCTGGACAGTAAACAAACTGAATATCTTGCATGCAGCACATTGGTACTGTCCGTGACAGTATATGTGAATCCTGATACTGAATAAATTCTGACCATCATTTGTTTAGGCCAGCAGTTCATCAAAAGAAAACGCTGTCCCTCGCCAAGTCTTCGTTTGCGCAGCCCTTGAAACTCTGCACAGACGATCGCGCGGAGGGGGCTTTTGCAATGTTTCATCTTGTGAGTTGTGTCCATAGCATCGCGGCTGGGAGCGGCCATTTCTGGTGGACACTCTCGCTTTACAAGGACCATTGTTCAACATCACCGTTAACGGTCGTTTTTCCTGCTGTCACCGTGTGAGGAAGCAGTGCATTTCAAGCCAGAGGGTAGTATTTTGCCTCGGCGAGAAGTAGACATTGTGAGCTCGTCTAGTTTCCATTGTTGAGTTAGCTGGACTCGTTGGAGCGACATGTCGTCAGACAATAGTCCGACAGATCTTGCAGGAGTCGTAACTGCTGCCGGTTTGCAGACGGCGATCTCAATCGGTAGGAACAGGACGGTACATTTGAGGCTCCGTCGCCCGGTAATGCTTATAGCTTCTTTGTTTATGTTCAAGGGCTTTTTATCGGCTTTTCTTTATTACGGCCGCGAAATAAAATTGTATACGAACCTCGATCAAAGTTTGCTCCGGAGCAGTATGTGATTGTCGCAAAGGATCTTAGTATAAAAGTGATCTTAACTGCCTTATTGACCAACAGGAAACGACCACAGCCGCTCAGCGGTATTCCGACAGCATGGCTGCGCCCGACGCTCTTTACCAATGAAAACCAACTTGTCGACAAGATCGGCCTAGATGCCGTCATGTTCCTCCGCTTCATTCGTCTTTGCTTTCAATTCTTCCTAGGTCTCACATGCATTGGAATCCCACTTTGTATCTTCCACTTTTATGCGCCGAGATTCACCGGAGGATCGAACCGCGACAGCGTAAACAGTCCTGATAAACAAACCGATCAAAAGTCGCCCCAACTGGCCGCGTTAACTATCAACAATGTATATCATGAGTCTTCGTGGTTTTGGATGCATGCTGTATTGGTCTGGGTGTTTAGCATGTATGCATACTGTAAGTTTCCGATTATGGTGATAATCTGCAATATTACGAGTGCTGCGACTCAGCCGTTTACCATATTGCAGATCTAATGTACAGACTCTGGATGGATTGGATACGATTTCGTAGAGAGTTCTTTTTCAGCTCAGAATTTCAAAGTGCATTTCATAATCGCACGCTAATTCTGACAAACCTCCCGGACTCGATGCGCTCACCTCAAGACGTAACCGAGTTCATGACATCATTGAACTTGAAGGACTCGATTCGCCAGGCCGTAATCGGACGGGAAGTTGGAGATTTACCAAAGCTCATTGAAGAGCACCAAAAAGTCACTGCAAAATTGGAGGATGTATTGGCAATCTGTAAGTTCTTGGATGACGATTTAATGTCTTGTCTAGATACTGATAAATTTCATGGTTCAGACTTGAAAGACCCGTACCGAGTTCCGACCAAGCGTCCTACCCATAAAATCAACAAGAAATTGCTGATATTTGGAGGACAGAAGGTTGACAGTATTGAATACTGTAGCGGGAGACTACATGCGCTGGAGCGCGAAATCTACGAACTGCGCTCGAAAGGCGATCATCACTTCAAGCCAAACGCCAATGCATTTGTTTCTTTTCGCAGTGTCCAGGCTGCTCACTCTGCTGCGATTAAATTGAATGGTGTAGCTGCTGTGGCTCTTCGAAGCCGATCACTTTCACCGCCATCTGTGAAGCTCAGTCCAGATTTCGACGATATTATTTGGCAGAATGTTGGGATTAGCGCTGCCATTCGGCATACTCGCAGACTGATGGCACTTGGAATTGTCATTGCGGTTACGTTATCTTGGTCTTTTTTGATCATCTTCATCACCGGGCTGGTGAGTTTGGGCACCATTGAAAAGTACGTCCCAAAGCTAGCGGAATGGATTGAAGAGCGGAAAGCTGCAACAGTCATCCTGACATCCATCATTGCGCCGGTTTTGTTCTCGGTATTGCAAATCCTTCCACCGATCGGATTCCGGTTCTTGGCGCGCTTCCAAGGCGTGTTGTCCAGCAGTGGCGTAGAGAAGAGCGTAATGCACAAAGTCTTTGCATTCCAAGTCTATCAGTACGCCGCTATCCTTCTAATCAATCTGAGTGCAACAACGATCGGCTCGATTCTGAACTTTTCGAACGGGGATGTCGGAGCGTCGACACGATCTATTTTCAACAGTATCGCCGTCGCATTCATTGACGTGAGTTATGTGCGAAATCGTGAAATATTCAGGTCACATATGTAACCTTAATTTTCGCTCTCTTGCCAGAAATCTTCCTTCTTCATTGCGATGATTGTGACTGGAATGACGAGCATCGCGATTGAACTGATTCAAGGCGTTCCCTTGGTATTGGGTTTCATTAAGCGACATCTGTTCGCGAACACGCCCCGTAAAGAGTTTGACTACAACCAAGCCCCCGCATTACCGTATGGGCCGATCTACGCGCTCATTCTCATCAAATTCCTCTTGGGCGTGTGCTACTCTGTTGCCGCCCCATTGATACTGCCATTCACGTCTGCATTCTTCTTTGCGGCGTATCTGGTGTACAAGTATCAGCTTATCTACGTCTACGAGACGCCTTTGGAAACGGGGGGAACGTGGTGGCCAAAAGTGTTCACACTATTATGCATATGTATCGGCTCGTTCCAGCTCATGACCCTCGGAGCAATATTGTTAATTGCTACTGGGGTGAGCGCTGAAGGGAATGGGAAACGACAAGCCATCATGCTTGTGGTCCTCATGTGCCTGAATGTGGTATATTGGTGGGCGTGTCGGAGATGGTTGGCGCCTCAAGGCTTCATGTCCAAATCGGATTTGGAACTCGTGGAATCAGCAGGCAAATGGAATGACAACGAAGAGTTGGAAGATCGTGTATACAACCCTGCGTTGGTGAAACCGTTGTGGAGAGTATGGGTATGGAAGCAGGCTCGAGAGGTGCAGGACAAATATTATACGCCAGAGTATCAGGATATTGAAGATTTCATTCGGAAAACACGTCCAGTATCAGTTGGTGGACGTGGAGAGGTTGGAAGCACGGACGATTTCACAGAAGTAGCAGGCACAATCCGTCGTAACGCAAAACGGGTACTATCGTTTTATCACCGCCATCCGCTACATAGCACGAGCCCCAATGCTGAGGCACCGCCAGAATTGGAGCACGTTGCACAGGAGGCAGGAGAAAGTCTCCCTATTGTTGTCGCTGTCCCGGATGACGAGCAAGATCCAAACATCACGGCAGGAAGCGGTCTTCCAACGTACTCTTCTTCTGCCACGCTACATTCGCTAGAACGCCCTTATGAACTTCAAGACTATGCATCTCAACGTGAAATTCCAGTGGATGTAAGGTCATTTTCCTCAACGGAAAATCTGAATAGCAGTCAGAGGACGGGGAGTTATAAATACCGTTAGAGATTATGAACTTTTATTTTAATAGATAGCAAGAATAGGAAACGAATTAAGTAATATTTATGTGGGTTTGTGATTATGCATTTCTAACTAATTGCATGCATCAGAAGCTTTGTTATCAGCAATTGTCGGATGAGATTCTCGTTGCAGGGGGCACCGTATTTACAAAACTATGTCATGTCTTCCCTGCAGCTCCATGTTTCTTCCAGCGCGGTTGAATGCCGACGAGCTAATGGCACCCAAGCTGGCTATTTCATGTAAAAAAGTGTTGAAGACAATGATGCCAGAAAGTTTGTCAAACCAACAGCCATTGATTGATCTGCTCGGTCTCAATGATAATCCTTGAAGGATTGGATATCATTATCTGTATCGTCCAAATGCATGAACCCAAAGTACTGAAGGCTCCATAACGCGATTCGTTACAAACAAAGCGGCAAAAATGCTCCAACACTTCTGCAACGCGTTATTTGAAACGGCACTCGATAGTATCACGGGGGGCTGATGGGAGGATTTTAAACTTGTTGCTCTTCTTTTTTTTTTTTTGTTTCGACAGACCTTCTGCTGCAAAGGTTCCGTTCGGACTTTCATTGTCGCTCGTTATGACTTTACAAAGACCTTCGCAAGACAGCGGGTCGGCGCCCTCTGATGACGTGCCCTTGCAAAGGAAAATGTCCTTTCGGGACCGTCTACCGACGGTACGGATGCCTTCACTTGGCATACGAAAACCATTCCAAAATTCGCCAAATGGAAAGGGAGCACCCACCAGTGCCGGAAGAGGAACATCTGTACAGAGTCGTATGAAGCTGAACATGGATACGAGAAGGATGAATTGGATCGTATTGGGTTTGATATTGCTGGATTTTTTGACGGCGCGTACGTATTGGGATGTGTTGGGCACATTTTTGCACATTGTTAACGAAGGACTTTTGAACCCAATAGAGGCAGCAGTCTACGAATCCGTCTTTGACACAGCAGATCCACCGGCCATGAACAAAGAACTCTACATTGCAAGTACCCTAAAGACCAACATACCCCACTTCACCACCGCGCGAACTTTCCTCTTTGCCTTCTCCCTCGGCCTTCGCATATTGTTTGTCTTTGAAATCCTACTTCGTGTCATCTCGTCAGGCCCCCTCAATTACATCCGCTCCCCGTGCAGCATCCTTGACGCCGCCATCGTCATTGCGTCCATTGTCGTGCACACCGCCCTCCCCGCCCGAGAATCCCTACTAGCAAACAACATCATTTTTCTCCGTTTCGGGCGAGTCTATGCATTGATGGAAGCTGTAAAGTGGGATATCGTTACGCGGACAAAGAAAGATGTAGAGATAATGAGACGAGAGTGGGATGAGGAGATGGGAGTGCAGAGGCAAAGGACGCGGACATTGAAGCGACAATTGTCGGAGCACAAAACCAAGTTGAAAGTTTTGACGGGAGATATGGGGGTAATGGACGCTGAAAACGAGCGGCAAGTAGCAAGGAGTAAGTTATTCGTCTTCTGTCTTTCCAGATTTAGGATTTCATGATTGATCTTCAATGTACAGGCACATCGACAAAGTCAAAGCGAGCGAATTATGACTTTTTGAACGAGTAAATGGGTGCTCAATATCAGTTTAATCCACCAAGTTAGAATCCTTCAAACGTTCCAGTGACTGTAGTAAAGCGAGATAGATAGTGTAGTTGAACTATAGAAATAGAAATGCCAACCCGCAATAGATTCCAGCCATAAATCGGTTCCATCGCATTCCAATGGAGGGCATAGGAGCAAAAGTTGCCGATTTGCACCGCAACCCTACAGAGTCACCTACTATCCTCCTCCAATGTCATCAGAGGCCTCACCGACCGAATTACTCAGGGAACTACACGTTCAGTTCATTGTGGGACTAGACAAGGTACAGCCACCTACAAGGCGCCAAAACCTCCAACCCACGTAGGATGGAGATGAACGTAAACTTTAGAGTGCAGTGTCTGATAGCGGTACACTTAAAAGCGGAAAGATGAGTTCGAATATTGGGCGAGCGAACATTTACGGCTGAATGGTATTATTTGTGTACAGTAGTTCCCATTGAGCTGGAAACCCGTCTGAAAAATCTTTTATCCGGTTTAGGTGTTTACTGGGGCCTCACGGCTCTCGATTTGATGAATCGAAAGGATGAATTGGCCAAAGAAGACGTTATTGATTTTGTTCTTTCATGTCAGCAGGATAATGGTATGTACTGCCCAATGAGTATCTCCGATGCTCCTTCTGATCAAACCCTTGCTACAGGAGGTTTTGGTGGAATGACCGATCACGACGCGCACCTTCTCTATACCCTGAGCGCTATCCAAATTTTGGCTACACTAGATGCAATCGATCGATTGGATGTAGAAAAAGTGGTCGAATGTATTTAATTGTGATTTTGCATTGTTGTTCCACACCATAGTTATTCAGGAGCAATTCTTCCCTACTAGTCGTCAAATCATTATCGCGACCCGACGGGTCCTTCGCGGGTGACGAGTGGGGCGAGGTCGATACGCGATTTACATATTGCGCGCTATCCTGTCTATCATTATTAAATCGACTTGATGCGGTCGATGTGAAGAAAACGGTTGAATATATTGATTCTTGTCGCAACTTTGATGGTGGTTATGGGAGCGTACCCGGGGCTGAGTCCCATGCGGGGCAAAGTAAGTGTACAGTCTTTGAGCTCGTGCCTACTACATCATGATAATGTTTGACCTTTCAGTATTCTGCTGTGTTGGAGCGCTTGCGATTGTAAATTCTTTGCATCTGGTGGATGCTGATCAACTGGGGTGGTGGCTCGCTGAGCGACAACTCAAAAACGGAGGACTGAACGGTAGACCCGAGAAGCTTGAAGATGTGAGTGGTCCATCAGGAAAATTCATATGCAATGTACAGGGAACGGAATTCCCAATGATGCTACACCCTGTGTCGCTGATCGGCCATACGGCTGCATGTGAAGAAAAATCTTTTTGTTGATACTGAGGGAATTCCGTTTTCTCGTGGCGATTCGGAAGTGATTCAAGATTCCCGAGTCACACTTTGAGCCTGGTAAGACTAACGCTTATTCATTCAGGTCTGTTATTCATGGTGGGTTATTTCAGCCCTTGCCATCCTCGATCGAACCCACTGGATCAATAAGCAAAAGCTGACTGAATTCATTTTGAGCTCACAAGTAAGAATTGTAGGATTGTAGCAGTCCCGTAGCTTGTCGATGACCAATCATATTTAGGACACGGAAACGGGTGGTATAGCAGATCGACCAGGCGACTACCCCGATGTTTTTCACACATTGTTTGGGGTGGCTGGGCTATCACTGTTGGGGTATGAAGGGTTAAAGGCTGTGGATCCCAGATATTGCATGCCTCGTTATGTTATTGAGCGCATTATTGGGTAGGTATAATAATGCGTATTAGCCACATAGTAGTACATTCCAACCACCCTACATGATCGGTTGATTACAAAAGCAATTGAGCCGGCTTACAGCATCACATGAAACCTTTGCGGTGTTTGACAAAGCTCCAATTCGCCGCTGTCGTTGCAGTGTTAGAAATAAATTAAACCGAACTGGCACTTGCGTATGGATTTTTACCCTCTGCCCGACGTTGTCGCCCTCTCCGTTCATCGGGCAGTTAGTCCGCCTTGTACAGGGGATTGGGATTATTCCCTGCATTTTTGCACTCTGCCTTCGCTGCCAGTGTGGTAACAATCAACATTTTAGTGTTTTTAAGCGGTCTGGCTGCATCCGAAACACCGCAGCACGATCGCAAGCCCACGTCATGGCTCCGGAGTATCCGATAAATAGCAATGACCTGACCGAGGATCAGATCCTTGACGTGAAAGCATCCTGGCTGGACCCTGATACAGATATCGAGGGAGGAGAACACAACATGGCGGGGGTCTTTGAGAGACTATCACGATTGTCCTTATTCTCGGTTTCAGATTACACCCTTGATCTGTCCACCGATTTTGATGATGATTTCGACGAATTCAACGGTGCTGGGGAGGTAGCGGACATGTCGGTGAAAGACTTGATTGTAAAGTACCATTGGATTGGCGATGTTGGAATTGTCGAGAACCTATTTGAAATTCCTTCGGATCTGGATACGGCGGCACAAAAAATCCTCGTAGAGGATAGGAAACGGATGGCTGAGATCATCCACAACGCACATACACCTCTTTCTACGTCCAAGATTAGTCAAACCGCCTCTACCAGGTCTCAAGAGTTACTCCAGCTGCATGCACGGCTGAGTTATGTGATTACAACGTACCATTGGGTGGGCGATGTGGGAATCCTGCAAAGATTATTTGATGAGGGTGTTGTGGAAGGTGGAGAAAAGGTCTTGGTGGCAGATCGGCGAAGAATGTTGGGGCTGCTGGAGGTGTATCATCCCATTTTGACGGTGACCCATCTTGCTGAAGAGGAAGTCAACGATGATGATACTCTTGATTATCTCATTGAGGAGGAACGCACGAAGCATGGTGTGGATACTCAACAACTCGTCCATCTGAACCTTCTCATCACTGACATTATCGCATCATATCATTGGATCGGGGACATCACGGTTTTGAGTAAAATCTTTACCCTTGGAAAGGAAGAGGATGGACTGTTGGGTGACCGGTTAAGAATGCTGGATGTCCTAAGACCTTCTCATCCATACATAAACATCAACTCTGATCTCTACGATCCGGACACCCTCTTAACCAATATGATCATCAAACATCACTGGGTGGGTGAAACAAAGGTTGCAGAGAAACTGTTTGACCTGTCAGTTGCGTATGCGTGGGACGCAAATGCAGAAAGCTATTCCTTGGTCCACGACCGAGAAAGGATGTTACAGGTTTTGAAATCATACCATCCGTTATTGGAGCTTGAAAACCCGTATGAAGCTTTACGGGACGCTAATGCACGGTTAGTCGAATTGGTCGAAAAGTATCATTGGATCGGCGATACTACGGTACTCCATCAGATCTTCGACTTTCGCCACAATCAAGACACCGAGCATATCCTTCTCTCCGATCGTAAAAGAATGCTGGAAGCCCTCACGGCGGTTCACCCTCTTGTTGCTGTCAATTCTCACTTGTACGATGTCGACGTCCTCCTTGTTAAAGTGATCGGTATGTATCATTGGATCGGGGACGTTGAACTTGTGGAGCAATTATTCGATTTAGAGTTTGTCGAGGACAGCGAAGGGGCGGATGTGGAGGTGGTTTTGGCGGATAGGAGGAGGATGGTGAGGATTTTGTTAGCCTACCATGACGGACTGAAATCCGCTACCTCGACCGATGCGATGAATATAGACTATGAGACGCTTCCAAGTGTGTCAAATGACGAACAGCAGGTGATTGATGATCACCTCCGACTCTCCTACCATTATGAAGAGGCATTCCGGGCACAGCAGGTTATCGATGACCATTTGCAACGGTCGTACGATTATGAAAAGGTGTTCCGAGCGCAGCAAGTGGTTGATGAACATCTCCAACTGTCGTACGATTATGAAAAGGTGTTCCGGGCACAGCAAGTGGTTGATGAACATCTCCAACTGTCGTATGATTATGAAAAAGCTTTCCGGGAACAGGAGACACAACAACAGCCAAGTGAACAGGAAGTGGTCGATGAACACCTTCGACTTTCCTACGAATATGAAAAGGCTTTCCGGGCTCAGCAGACACAACGACCGTTAAGTGATCAGCAAGTCGTTGATGAACATCTCCGACTTTCCTACGAATATGAAAAGGCTTTTCGGGCACAGCAGGTTATCGATGACCATCTGCAACTGTCGTACGATTATGAAAAGGTGTTCCGAGCACAGCAAGTGGTTGATGAACATCTCCAACTGTCGTATGATTATGAAAAGGCTTTCCGGGAACAGGAGACACAACAACAGCCAAGTGACCAGCAAGTGGTTGATGAACACCTCCGACTTTCGTACGAATATGAAGCCACGTTCCGGGCACAAGAGGTGGTTGATGATCATCTCAAGCTCTCCTACGATTATGAAACAGCTTTTCGAGCACAAGAGGTGGTTGATGATCACCTCCAACTGTCATACGATTATGAAAAGGCATTCCGGGCACAACAGGTCGTTGATGATCACCTTGCCCTTTCATATGAATACGAAGCTGCTGCTCGAGTCCAGGAGGCAAAAGAGGAAGGCCAGAAGGATGTTGACGACCATTTACGCCTCTCATATGAATACGAGAAGGCGTTCCGGAAGCAAACTCAAGACGGTACAATTTATTCACGAGACCTAGCGAGGAGTGTCGCTGATACGCGACAGTCTTTATTCGATGATAAGCATGTACAGGAGACATTGCGAGATTCAACCGATCAAAACACAATCGACGAACATCTGAAACTTTCGTATGTGTATGAGAAATCCTTTCTTGCAGCACTCGCCAAAACCGAAGGGACCTCTCGCAGTATCCGGGTTTCTGAAAAGATTGCCTCGACGACGGAAGGGACACATGATCTAAAGTTTTTGGAGCACCTTGTTCAGCGAGTTGAGGGTGCAGCGGATCTGCTAGACAGTCAAGAGTCCCGCCAGACGTTGGTGAATAAACTGAAAGGGTTGGTCGAGAGATTGGAGAGTGTCGGTGTTCAACCACGGGCTGCGGAAGAGAGGCGGACGGGTGATTCACAAGAGGTGGTCGACAATCATTTGGCGATGAGCTACCGGTTAGAAGCCGAGTGGTGGAAAAAGATGGCCTCTGCTCAGCCTATGGCAGAGCAGAGGACAATCAGCGTCAGAGTCATTCCCCAGACAACAGACGATCGAAGTAGATCATATTGGGAATCGTACGCAACAAGCATCAAGAGCAACGTACCTGACGACAAAGAGGCATTGGTAGAGGATGTACACACCGACCCAGAACAGTGGGCAGCGGAACTTGACCGGCTCAAAACTCTGGCCAGACATTTACGCTCGACCCCTTCTTCAGAACGAGTGAGGCTATTAAATACATATCTAGAAGGACAGGTTGGTGAAGCATCGGTTGATGTTTTACGAGGGGAGATCAAAGACGCTGTCAAGAGGATGGGGGATGTGGATGCTGACTGGTTGGACGGTTTAATAAGCACTTGGGAAGAAGGTGTAAGGGAATTTGAAGAGGAAGAGACCATTCCCGACACAGGCTTCTCCTCCCCTGTCACTGAGCGCGAAAGACTCCCAACACCGTCGATTGATTTTGAAACCCTCCAAACCCGAATCCAAACACTGGAAGCCACCCTTTCCAAAACACAATCTGCCCTTTCCCAAATTACCATCGACCACCAACTGCTACTATCCTACTCCAACGATCTGACAGCCGCCGTCTTACCCCTCCGCCCATCATCACCCGAAAGCAACCACAGCCATCAAACCCAACTCCAACACTTCACCCACAACCTCACCCACCTGCTCTCGCTAGCGCACAGATACACATCCCTCCAACAAACACTTCATGACACCGAAGCACGTCTGCGCGCTCGCGACACATACCTCCGCACCACAGTCTTGGATTCCGCACGCCAGGTTCAGTCATTAGAACAAAGGGTCTCGGATCTTACCTCAGAGAATGAAGACCTAAAACAGGACTTGAAGCTCGAACAGCGGGGCAAAAGGTCATTGGAAAGGGAACTCTTGCAAATGGATGAAGGATTGAGAGACTGCGGGTGTGGCTTCCGACGATCAGGACGAACCAGTCGAACTGGCAGTTTTGCCAGCGTGTCAAGTACTAAAGACGATGGGCACGATGGAGTCGAACCGCGTCGTCGACCTAGCCGTACAGGAAGCTTTACCAGCTTATTGCACTCAAAACTCGATGACCTTCAAGATTCCGATGTCATTATCCATGATGTACCAGACGACGCCATAGAGACAAGATCCAACATTGATTCACTCAAAGCAGAAACATTTGCACTCAAGTACGCCCTGAATCAGCTCAAGACGCAAAATCAATCGTTATCATCCCGACTCGAATCACTAGAACAGGACCGGGAACGGAGGGTGAAGGAGGAAATGCGATTTGTTGGCGAAGAACGTAGCAAAGATGAGAAAAAGCTGGCAACAAAGCAATCTCCGATATCACCCGTTGGAAAGTCACCCAAAGTTCGAATGTCATTTCCGCAAACACGGAACCCATTCCATATAGACCAGGAATAATAGTTTTGTAAATTTCGATTTAGGATGCGCTGTGCCTTGAAGTACATGATTTTACTATATTTTGTCAATATAATGCTTGTTCTGCTGAATATCTGGCGTTGTGCTGTGCTGCACCGGAAAGACATCTGGGATCACGCATCCTGATTCAGCGTGGAAAAACATTACGAAAAAAAAAGGGTACCGAGCACTTGACATGCGAGATGTGAGGATCGAACTCACGACCTTGAGATTATGAGACTCACGCTCTACCGACTGAGCCAATCTCGCTTTGCTTTGGACAGGGGAGCTAGCAATTTAGGTTGGGTGAACTGCCACTCTCAACACCGAAGACCTAATGACTTAAAAAGGGGTACCATAACAACATGAGCGGCCTACAATTTGTGTAAGATTCCAAGAGAGCAAAGAGATTTTCCTTCTGGTTTGGGCAGATATTGCTGGCCTCGCAGCATGCTGCTGTACACCTTCTTGTTCTTCTTCCACCGTGCATAGGAAGTGGCCCAAGTTGCCTTGATGGAGAGAATTCACATGAAATACTTACACCTTTGGTGTTAGTGACAACGCTGCCTCTCCACCTTAGCCGGACATTGCTTTCTGAGCCCTACGTATTTACCAATTCAATGCTACCGAAATCGGGCTGTTGGGATATTCAGCATGGGCTGGGGGAGAAACTTGGGATATATGGAGAGCTAGTGATGATCGATTCCAGGACAAAATCTCCGGGTTCGATCATTCATCTGGAGATATGTGCTCTCTGTAACCACAAATGTACGAAATTACACATTGGGACAGGTACTATGCTGTGGCTCACTTACTTGTATATGGGCGGCTCCTAGGCTACACGAGTGCCAAAGCTTCGAAAGGTGGGAGAGATTAAGTTGCACATGCCGAACCAGCTGGTTTGCTAGGGCGACTGTCATGAACAAGATGAGACATGGACAAAGGAGGTTTTCCACAGCGGAAAGTTCAATGGCTCTTTGAAAACCGTTGGAAAGTTGGAACATGAATGGTGGTGGCATTAATACAGCAGAACTGGAACGCAAAAACCTTGGATAGGTGTCATAGAGGAAGCAAACATTTATCCTGTAAAAAACAACAGTTTTCTTATCGGTTGCCCCTTATAGGAGGTATATTTTACAATACTTCACCCCATACACATTCGATGAACATCTCCAATTGTCGTATGATTATGAAAAAGCTTTCCGGGAACAGGAGACACAACAACAGCCAAGTGAACAGGAAGTGGCCTAAATACATATTTATACAATTTTCATAGAACGCACTGCTTACAGGAGATGCACGGAGATAATGTTGTTTAACCCTCTTCGTCCGAGACCTCTGCCGTCCAATCCAGATATTTTCCAGTACTTCACCCCAGCAAATACATATTTCGTACATCTTGATCATCTGCGCTCCCCAACTTACACCGAGTTCTCTTCAACCGCTCTGCCAACACCCCACGCTTGAGTGTCTTCTATATGTCTGGTCGAGGGGGAATGGCTGGTCGAGAGGGTATGTGTGGTCGAGGGGGTTGAAGGGAATATTTCGAAGGCGACGAGAAGTTTCCTCTCTTTCACCGCCTACCGTCAAAATGTCCGAGCGTGTGAATTTACAGGAACATCAACAAAGGAGAAGCTGGATCCCGCTGCTCCTCCTGTCCAAACTTCCGCGGCCAAGTCATCTTCCTCCTCCACGGCACCAGACTGTATAACGTTGGATACGCCATGCGGTCCGCAAGACATATCATGGTGGGCAGGAGAACAGCACCCTCGAGGCGAAGGAAATCTATCCGCTCATCAGCGATGCCGTCTTCGCAGAGTTGTGGTGAAGTACTGGAAAATATCTGGATTTGACGGCAGAGGTCTCGGAAGAAGAGGATGATGAGGAAGATTAAACAACATTATCTCCGTACATCTCCTGTAAGCAGTGCGTTCTATGAAAAATGTATAAGAACGTCAAAGGCGGGGAGGCCAGTGGGAAAGAAGCTTGGGTCGAGAAGCCAGACGTCTAATGTTAAATATACGAGACTTTATGGCACAGTCATACTACCACCTCTCACGTCATGCAAACACAGCTTGGTGGATTGAACCACTGAGTCTGGCGACAACCAGCCCGGAGAACCTAACTAGCTAACCAACTCCTTGCAAGTAACAAACTACGACTAATTACACATGCAATACATGACGGTTGATAAATCGGGTAACTAAGCCGACCACCATGAGAGAAATCCTACTAGGCCTCTGATTCTTGAGTCAGAGGAGATACTAGTAAAATCAGAATAATTAGAGAAAAGACAGTGCATACCTGCGATCGTAGCAGCATAGTAGTAGCAGCTTTTGCAAGGCGTAATGTTAATGTTGTCGGGAGGTCCTCAGCATCAGAGCGGCATTCTCATGATTGACTTGAGAGTTGCTTGAGCATTAGGTGGATACTTCGAGAGTTGAGGGTAAAGAACAAGATGGGGAAAGGGGGGTTTATATAGAAAACAAGAGTGGATACAATGCATGTTGGGTTACAGGAGAATGTTCCACTCATTCAGATGTCCACAATGGATAGTAATTGCATCCATAGTAGAACGTTGGCAGTCTGGCCAAAATAGGCTATGCATTAAGTACACAGCCACTGTCAGTTTTGATTGCGTGAGCCATTTGGCAGATTTTTCCCACCATCTCATCTAGTGCTTCACTTGCACACCTTTGTTTATTTTGGAAGCTACGCTAGTTTTGTCCGAAATCCCATTCGATACATGCGTTGCAGATTACATTGTGAAAAGCATCTATAACATCGGACAAGGAAAGTAATCGGACAAGGAAGCTTAACCCTTTTCGTGTCGATGCTTTGTCTGTGATTGACAGGTTTACCACTTTGGACAAAGTTCGGTGTCCCACTTGCAGCAAATCATTAAAAGCTCTCGACATCCTTCTCACTCCGACCAAAAAGGATACGGTTGACACCTTTCTAGCTCGTGCCGATTCGCTTTTGCAGGCAAAATGTAGCAAATGCAAAGGCAACGTTTGCTTGGTCTGCGAACAGGCAGTCGTCGAGGCTACGGGATCTTTATTTGGAGCACACTCGCACTGTGCCGGCGCTCGTCTCATCACTATCTATCAAGTCCTTCAATTCGTCTATTATCAAATGAAAATCCGCACCGACAAGAGCGAAAAATTCCTAGAACGAGAAAAGTTGAAACGTAAAAGGGAAACCACACAGTTCCGCGAGTCCTACGAGCTCTACACATTACAAAAAGATACAGGAACCGGATATGGAGGTCAATGTTATACCCGCGGCGGAAGGAATTTAACGGCAAAGATATCGAAAGAACGGGAACACATGGACGAACTCGCTTCTGCATGCGTTACTGCATTGAAAAACTTTCTCCCGAACTCTAATCGTCAACCAGAACCTTACATGTTCGATTACCTTCCCGATCCAGACTTACGTAAAGTCCTCACGGAATCTTGCTTCCTTCCATGGATACTCGAGTACCTGCAAAATGATTCCTTGATGGATATTGCCAACAGAAGCTCGCTCTACTTTAATATCATTTCCCTACTCGATCTCCTGTCAACCCACGAATACCTGATTCCTATTCTTATTCAGCGATTTCCTGAACCGCAAATATCCGACTATCATGAACTTTGCGAAAACCGGAGAAAGAAGATGAAAACAACTGATATGAATGTCAAACCACAACAACATTCGGTTCCTCAACCAACTGCCGTGAAAGAATTGGACTATACCGTCCCATTGCTCGATGCGCTAAAAACTCTTGTTCAACAAACAAATGTGTTTTCTCAGAGCATGATGGTGACTCTTTCGGATAATATAGGAGTGCAAGAGGGAGAAGAAAATGGCGGTGCGCTGAATGCGGATCAAGAAGAGATGATGAAAGTCGTGACATTGGCGACGGATATCAATGATCTTTGGAAGAAGATAAATGATCGGATTTCTTCTTTTCGACTTCTTCACAAGGGCGCAAACGAGAAATTCGATGATCCATCAAAATTGGATAGACCGTCGAAATCGGAGGTGAAGATGAAGGATGAAACACCAAAAAAACCAAAGACATATGTCGAATTGATGAAACTTCGACTGTTGCAATATGCCGAAATATGGTCCGATAGAAATCCTGCGCCGAAAACCATCGATGGAACCCAAATCCTCAAGTCCAATCGCACCATCTATATCGCAAAAGAAATGGCAACTCTGTCTACATCGCTACCATGCAGCGATTCGAGTGCTGTGTTTGTACGGATCGACAACGACAACATGAACATTATCAAGTGTGTTATAACCGGTCCAACTGAAACGCCGTATAGCTATGGATGCTTCGAGTTCAACATCACTTTCCCGAATATGTACCCAGATGTCCCTCCACAAGTCACACTGCTCACAACCGGTAACGGTTCCGTACGTTTCAATCCTAATCTGTACCAATGTGGAAAAGTGTGTCTTTCGCTACTGGGGACATGGAACGGATCAGCTAGCGAAAGGTGGCAAACGGGGAAGAATCAGTCGACGCTATTGCAAGTTGTAACGTCGATTCAATCGATGATTTTGATCGACACTCCTTACTACAACGAACCAAGTCATGGAACACCGCAAAAAACGAGACTGCAGAATATTCAGTACAATAGAGTTATTAGGAGGAACTGTGTAAAGGAAGCGATGATTGGAATTTTAAGGAAACCTCCTGTGGGGTTCGAGGATGTAATACGAGATCATTTCTACTTGAAGGAGACGGAAATCATGAAGCAAGTGAAAGAATGGGCGGCGGAGGATGATCGCTGGGATGGAACCCATTATATCGATGCGATGGGCGCCACCCATCAAAGTTTCCGATCATACGGGATGATGAGTGGTGCGGTGAGCGGCATCCTTGGCCGAATTGCTCCTTCAAATTCTGGAAGCTGGGAAAAGTTGATAGCGTCCTTGGAAGCAGTTTATCCAGTATCTCCCTCTAGGTATGTAGAAGAGCAAATCCGGGAAAAATAATGTGTACAAGACAGAGGAAATGCGATGGGTGTCGTGTTGATATTTGATGTCTTATTGGTGTAATATGATGCCGTTGATGCGATAGATTCGCTCCCCCTCGCGGACTCAATAAGCAATAGATTCTACATCACGATTTGTCGGCACCATCCGCATGCCACATACAATTCTTTACGACTAAACATAATAATGGGTATAATCAGTTGCGTGCAAAAGACCATATTGAACTGTCAAAGGATCTAGCAGTATCTGAAACCCGCGGTTAACTTGCTTTCACTGGTTAATCCGAATACCAACTCAAGTCAGAACTATTCACCAAACATAACTGCCTTCCCCACATGATCATAGTAAGAAGAATTATCTCATTAAAAGAAACCTTGTCGACGAAGTTCGCGGATCTTGGTGTAGGTGGCTCGAACGGGAGTAAACTTCAAGGTAGTTTATCCATCCTGCGGGGTCTTTGCTGAGGGACAGATACAACTTTCCTAGGAAGCAATTCCACATCAGCCTCACTGCAAAAGACGATTACACCATGGATAAAGGTCCCGCTGCTGCGATATCTCTATGAAAGAGACGCCGAGCGAAAGATTGTTCTCCAGAATAGCAATACCTATCATATCGGAACCAGATACAATTTGCTAGAATGCGATAAAGTTGTCGGAATTGCAATGACCTGTTGATAATGGGCCTACTTTAGCATTGGAATTGCGTGCAAGAGTGTTCCTATGATATGAACCGCAAAAGAATTTACCAAACTCCCGAGATTCTTCATCCTCTACTTCAACAACTCATAAATCCTTGCAGGGGAAACTGTCCGTCATGGAAGGTTGCAATATACAACGTGCATCGCGCTGATGACGTGTGCAAAAGAACGTCGCGTATCACCGAGCAGCATGGTCCTGGCGTCGACGTCCCTGACAGGGGAGATATGGAAAATCTTGATGACGCACAGACCCATCCAACAGAAGTCCTTCATCTTCTACTGCAACAACTCATAAATCTTTGCAGGGGGATAGAAGATTGCAAGGGCAACGTGCATCTCGCTGATGACGTGTGCAAAGAACGTCCGCGTATCAACAAACAGCATGGTCCCGGCGTCACGTCCCTGACGGGGAAGACATGGAAGATCTTGATGACGCACAGACCTATCCAACAGAAGTTTCCAGCCAAGAACCCCACAGCCCCAACGGGCCCCCCTCAAAAAGTTATAAAAAGGCACCCTCTCCCGCATCCCCCCACTCTCTCTTCACTCTCTTCACTCGCCTTGGGACGGCGTAAAACTCGAGCCCGCCCTGGGAACTTGGCGCTAAACTCAACTCGGTCGAAAAGTCATAACCGGATAACTTTAAAGGTCGTTGTCGGAATGCAACGTGATACCTCTTTGAGGTGGGCGCCTGGGACTGTTGATGTGCGCGCGCCAGAAATGGAAGGAGCACGGAGCTGCCTGAGCCTACGGGCGATGAGGGCATCCTCTTAGAGGAAGGGCCTGCGATAAAGGATGAAATAGGATGAAAAAAGGTTGACTGGACATGATCAGGTCGAGCAGCACAGAAACCATCAAGCTAAGTGCTGTTTCCGCCCAAGTTGTACGCTCCATTTAGCATAATAACTTTGACCGAGGAAACCCCATTGGAAGCCGTACTGTTGAAAACATTTTCCTCCAGTTTCCAATTACAAAACTCCGACTTTATGCCCAACTCGATCATCTTTATCTCTACGGTGCATCGAGAGAAACGACCATTGGTACTCAGTGGTGGTGGGAAAGGAAGAACCGGGAGGTGACCTTGATAGTTTGCGATGTAGATTTTCTATCGAAATTCGGCGTGTTCATTCAGCAAAACGATTTACTGTGTCGAATAGGAGGGCGTGGGGGGTTGTGATAAAGCCTTGGATGTGAGTCCGGGTAGAACAGCCTCTAATGCAGATCTTGGTGGTAGTAGCTGTGATAGATATAATCCGAAACATCCGTCCCGAAAGTATCGAAACAGAGGAACAAGAAAAGCTCATTGAAGAATACAACTAGTATCGACCTTTTCATCGAACAGATAACGGGAACACAGCAAAAACACTTGTCGGATGAAAAACTCGATACTCGTTGTATGTGTCTTGAACACTGTTCGGCAAGAACGTCGTTCATAGGGTCAACAATACCATTTGGCAGAAATTTCCCTCAAAATCCTTCATTTTGTCATTCGAATGCAAGGTAGCGGCGGAAAATCGTCCATTTTGGGAGACGATCTCAGATTTGAAGTAATCTCGCAGGACATGGAAGCTGCATGTTTCTCTGCATTGACTGGGGCATTGAGGAACGGAAGATAGATGTTGACAAATGCAATACCGATATATCTTTTACGAGGGAATGGCTAGACGTCGCATTTTATCGGAAAGATACGATATGTGTGATTTTAAGACAATCGTGAACAGCTCGCACTTTTCTTTTTTCTCCGGGGTTTACCTAAAGGTGTCTTGCCCCAGAAGAAAGCCTAGTGCATGTGCGCGTTTGTGCCAACCAGACGTCCGACAGCGTACCTGTATACACTGATCACTTCGGATATGATCAGATTTCAGACCTTATTAGGTTATAATCATGATAATGGAATGGCAGAAACCGGCAATCTTTGTTCTGACACCACCGGAACCTTGACGTAAAGCTGTTGAAAAATGGGGTCCTCTGTATGTTGCCAGTGGTGTCGAGGAACCTAGCACAGTACTACTCGATGTATTCATCGGACAAGCTGAGCACTGGTTCGATTTCAGCTATACTTCCATAGGATATAAATAAAAATAAATTGCATCTTCTGTATTTTCAGGTCTCTTGTCAAGTGCAGTTGCATGCATGTTGTTCACACTAGCTATCATATATGGCCTCCGCCCATCCACCTGCACTTATATATCCATTCAAACCGCTTGTCTGGTGAATACTGTACAGTACATCGTTGCGACTTGTGTATACACAAAGGGCGCCCTTTGCTGCTTAGCGGTGCCCAAGAGATAGCACACATGCTCATCATTGTTTTGTTCATTTTCGAATCATTTTCATCCTTTTTTTTTTTTTTGAAAGACAAGGAAAGGATGTCAGGAAAGTCCAAAGAACGAATGGGGAAAAAACAACATACATGTATATGTATATAAAGGTAAAGATGAATTGATAACAACCCTAAAAATGGGTAAAGATGAAAAGAGGTAAGCAGAGTCCAAGGACCAACCGGACGAAAAGTTACCACCCTGTCGCAACTATATCAAAGGTAAAAATGAAGGAATCAGGTTTCACATCACCGTACAACTCCCCATCCTTTGTCTTTGGGATGAGATCAGTAGTATCCACAGCCGCACGTTTTCGAGTCAAGATCCGTCGGCTCCGGGGCAAAGATGTTCTGGTCGCCTTGACGTCTAATCCTTTTGTCCTCTGCAACTACGTTTGGAGCTACGGCAACCAAATGTCTCTGCCACAGATGTCAAACTAGACGGAATCTGTCCACCCAAAGTAGCACCGGATGGAGCGGCAGTAACAGCAGAGTGTTCCAGATACCGTCATCAAGGTGGAAACTTTCAGCAGTATTCCAGCTACTCTCGTTGCTCCTGAACTAGCTTTTGGCCGGAGCGTCATTCCCGCCACTCCTATTGTCAAGACGAAAGCAAAGAGAACACTGCAGTTAGAAAAATGAAATCGCTTTGTCTACCGCAGATAGAGCAGCGTATGAACATCCACTTTGACGCATCCCATCTCTGCTCTTCTCTTTAGTCTAAGGGCGTCTTGACGCTCCAGATAGAACAATACCTGGATCATCTCCTCTGGCGCATTCCACCTACTTTGTCCTTTTCCAAAGGCATCGAGTTTTCAAGGACGAAACAGATAGAACAATGCTCACTCTGGCGCATCGATATCTTTTGAATGCACAGACTTTGATAATGTTAATTTTTACGCTGCATCAACAACGACGTCCTAGACCATGGAATCGCATCCATGTATTCACTGAGCAAGTGGCTGGATTTGAAGTACATGTGAAAGTGGGTGGCATATGAAGGACTAGTCATATCTAAAGAATTCGAATGACAAGACTGCTGTGGTTGTCCGAAGTACATGCTTGTGATCTTACTCTAAAGCGTCCTGCTGTTATGAAGAAAAAGAAATGCTGCATCCAAAGGAGCAGCCGGGTATTGAAATCGGAACACATCGATCGGTGCTCTGTCATTCTAAAGCACCCTGCGGTTACGAAGAAAAGAAATACATGCAGGAATGCGTCATAGGAGGAGCAACCAACAGTTGAAATCGGGACATATCGATACGTGCTCTATCACTCTGGAAAGAAGAATACACATCCAGACTGGAGCCACCGAGTCGGACAACAACCTCTACAGTACCCCGAGCCTTTACAGTAATTCCATGTGACCCTTTCCTCTGAATCAATCTGCGTGCCCAGCAATCGTCTATTGCAATGATGGCCTCTGCCCCACCCTTCCCGGCATTTGCTTCCAGGTTTGCTGTCCGTCGTCAAGATGTATTAACCTTTAACTGTTCTTCCAACACTGCATTATTTATCACTTCATAGCAATATGTCATTATATGGTTCTAACTTGAATGGTTGGGCAATTGGTGCCGACTACCAGGGGAGCTGCCAGCTTTACTGCCACTTTAAACGATAACTTTTTTATCTTACCTTTAGTTTATTCAAAGGCATGCAATATTTGCATAGAAAGGTGAAAAGTACCATTTGGGAACAATGCCATGAGGAGTTACAAAAGGATTAGAACGAATGCTGTTATCTGGGTGGCCGAGGTAGTAGGGCCCCATGATAATACTCGCGGAGGAACTCTTCCAGGCGTAAAGTCTTATCCTCGCAGCTCAAGGAAAAGCGTCCGATAGGCTGCACAGGATCCGACAAGATCGAATCTGCTGCCGTTATTGCCTTCTCAGACTTGTTTGCTCGTCATGTTGCAGCATTGGCCAACATCCACGGTACTCTTGGAGTCATGGATGACAAGCAACTTGCGTCGATCCCATTGATGTCATTTGGGACAGTCTGCAGACGCCGTTTTATATGTCAGATTCGAGGCCCAATAGCTTTACTAGTGTAAAGTCCACGGACGCCCTTAACTCTAATCCCGAGCACCACACTTTTAGTACTATCTTTGCGAGTCGCT